TTGAATGAGCTTTCGTCAGCGATAATCCTTATTTCATAACAAATTGTCTACACATAGATCATGAGAATTCCTTCACAATTCCCCTATATTATCACAAGTCTGCAAATGACTATTTTTTTATGGCCTAGATTATGGCTAACATTAAACACTTCCGACTGAAAGTCAGCAAGGGTTATTTGGCTCTCGCCTTAAGTCTCTTTTTCATATGAAACATCTTAATAAATAAAACTTACTTTGCTTACTATTACTGCAACTCCACTTTTGTAGGCTTTATTATTATTCCATAATTACGTCAAGGCTTTTAAAAAAGCTTTATAACCCCATGCATCCTTTTGGGTCTTGGTCTTGAAAGAAACTATACACTTTCAAATAACTAATTTAGTTAAGTTTACAATTTTTAAGAGAACAAATAAACTAGGATTGGAGGAGAAGTATTTCCTTAGGCCAGATTTAAGTATAATCATAAAGTGATATTATGCAATATCTTCAGTCAGTATATTTATTGCCAATTCAAAGTTGCACAACAAATTTTTGAGCTAATGCAACAAACAAATAGCCCATGCTCTTATGACAGTCCTGTTTAGGTACCAAAACACAGTTTCCAATTCCAGGTTCTTTAATAAAATAACACTAATCTAAGCTTTGTTGAGTGTCTTAAGTCTGTTATTATTAAACTAAAAATGCCAACAAAATCTCGGAAGGATTTTAAGGATATTTGAGTTACATTTATTTTTTCTGTTACAATCGATTGTGCTCAATTACTATCAGAGTTTGCACCATCCATTCTTGCATTTTCTATCAACTTTATTCAATTCTTTTATTTTGCAATAGACAAGCCTTAGTTACGTCTGCTCAATTCTTGACATTTTTTCTGTAGGTTATCACTAGATTCATTGAGATTATAGGTAAGATTATTATGATAATCAAGCCACTTTATGCTTGTATAAATATAGGTGTAAATATACTTATTACTAGTAACAATAATCTAAATAACAACTATAGTATTTCCGATAGTAATGCCAACTATAGACATAAGCATAAGGTTGACAACTAAAATAATCTAAAAGAAAAATGTCTATTCCTGTTGTATTAATTACTAGTATAAAATTGGAACGGGTTATAAGAATACGCATAATTTATTTTTTATTTAAGTGTGCAATTGCCATTACTCCATCTTAATATATTTAACCCTATAGTATACATATACATACAGCTTCAATCCAAAATTAATAGTTGATGATATCTAGGTGAGGTCAAGACTACAGTCCAGCATGGATGAAATTGGCCTTTCCATATATATCAAAAGTGAAGTTGCTGACAAAAACGGAATATATTTGTGAATAGAGCGTGGAAAGAATCCAATCAGTCCACTGAGAAACATTTTAAATTGATACTCTTCAACCATACCCAAACTTTGGAATAAAAACAGTTTACCAACAGTACTAACCTACAGCTATCAAAACAACATTTTGGCCTCAAGAAGGTTCCAAACCAGTTTCTAAATGAATCATGAAATTAAATTTTTAGCATGTTCCTTACACACCCGAACGTCTATTTAATTCACTAATAAATTCTTCCACTACCTACCAACCCCATATTCATCCGGAGATCAGCATACAGGCTCACTCTCTCTTCCAATTGTTTTATTCATGACTCACCCACCGTTTTTAAAGCACCAAATCCCTCCTCTCCACATACAATCAGGAGAATTCTGAGGCGGCCAATCGCCAGGATCAACAATTGGCAGCCTCAGCAGCTACTCAGCTGGTGATGCACACCAAGGCTGAATTGACAGATGAAATCGCAGTCGGACTCAACTTCACCCAGTTGATGGACAAGAATAAGAGCTTCATCAGCACTATCATGGCTTTACATATCTACTTGGCGAATGGTTGCCTTGTTATCAGTCTTCTAAGCGTGATGGTAACCGACAAGGAGCTTGGCCATCGCGCCTACCTCTCTTTGATGGGAATGACAAGATTGGCCTACCTTTCGGCCAACTTTATCGCCTGCCAGTGTAAGTGTCATTTTGGAACGTTAGAGACTGTATTATTTTAACCGATTGTCAGATTATTGAAATTGCAAAAGATAAAATATTTTTTTTAAATAGATGGCATTCCTCATAGGTTCTTGCAGAGGGTTGATAAATTCGATATTGTCATTCCGTAATAATATATTTTGAATCCGTAAATTTAGAATAGCCTGATCTCCCTATGCCCCCTATTGTCCTAGCAATGTGAACGATCACATAGTCTGACCAATGAGTATAGCGTACTCGTTTCTCTGATTGGGCAGCGTAGAGAGCCAATCTGATACGGACATTGACGATTCCTGGAGTAGAACTCCTAGCAGATGATTCCCAACCTATTGGTACGCATTTAATTGGGTTTAGCTACGCTCCCGTTATTAAAATGCGTGAGCTCCTAGTTATATAAACAAATTTCCGCTTTCATACATTATTCGGCTTAAGTAGATTAAGTAAATATAGTCTTTATAAAAGACTGGGCTCATAAATGCAAAAGTTTGAATACGCGACTAGGCATTAAAATTGAGTCGACAAAATAAAATAGCAAGATTAGAAATTACAGAAATTATCCAGAAAATAAAAGAAGATGCAAAAGTGAGTTACTTGGGTGCCTGAATATTTTGAGATTGTCCAAAACAGTATTGTCAGTTAAAAAGTATATATATGACCCAGTATCTAGATCCGGCTGCTACAAGATTGTTTGCTCATGTCGTCGATGTTATGTTGGTAAGATATGCCGACGTATTTGACAAAGATTGGGAGAACACAAAAACGCTTGCGAGGGAAGCTGGATCCAACGGTCAGAAGTGGCCGAACATATGGTAAAAACTGGACATGAAATGGAACGGTCTCAAACTAGTAGGTTTGCTGATTATGGTACATCTGTGGTTAAAAGAAAAATAAGAGAGGCCATTGAAATTAATAGCTTAGAAAATACGTTGAATGTGAAGAACGGTGGTAGGATGTTGAGTAGGAGCTACTTATGCTTAATTGATACATTAAAAGAGAGAGAGGGGGAGTTGAGCCGCCGTCAAAAAGAAGGCGACTCAATTTGTCTGCTCAGTGATGGTTTTAATTTCACTCACATTCGTCCAAT